TATTTGGGCTAAAATATCTTCAACAGAGTAAAATAGTTCCTATCCTCCTGAACATAAATAACTGCAATGTTGACTACTTCTATAGTGAGGTCATTTAGCAAATACTAAAATTTTAACACAACTAATTAGAATTTGATCTCAATATATAGAAAGGGAAATGGGATTACTATCGTTGTTCTTGCTGTGCTAGATACACTTATAAGAAGTTGGAAACTACAGCTAATATTCAAGTTCCGCAAGTACTTAAGTCTCTAAGGATGTTAAATGTTCTCCACAATATACATCTGAGTGTGTAATTTTAAAATCACTTACAAAATCTTTCATGATCACTTCTATATAAAAGAAAACTCAGTTTCAGCTAGTTTCCATAAACTATCCAAAGAATTCTTTCCAAAGAAACCTAGACAAAAGCCACTAGCACAGTGAACATTACCTCACAGACTTTATACAGAAACTTAAGATCTGTTGCCCAGGGTAGAGTGCAGTGGCATCTTCCTAGCTCACTGCAACCTCAAACTCCTGGGCTCAAGCAATACTCTTGCCTTCAGCCTCCCGTGTATCTGAGACTACAGGTGTGTACCACCACGCCCAGCTAATTTTTTCTATTTTTGGTAGAGATCCGGTCTTGCCCTTGCTCAGGCTGGTATCAAACTCCCGAGCTCAAGCGATCCTCCTGCCTCAGCCTCCCATAGTGCTAGGATTACAGGTGAGCCACCCCACCAGACCCCCCCCATTTCTTTTGAAGTCACATTTTACTAAATTAATAAAATAACAACTCTGAACTGTGACCTCCTAAATGTCAGCCTACTTGTTAGTGCTAAAAATACTCGAATAAGGTAAAAAACAAACTTTGTCACTCCACAGTAGATTCATCCACTAAAATAACCTTTCATGTTTAGATTTATTACTTGCAAATGAATTACCAAGTGGTCGTTGGTAAACAGTGGATTCTTAACCAGAAATCTTTGCATGGGTGTCCAAACAATACAGACCAAGAGCACCAACAGAGCAGTTTAAAAACAATTTACCAGGACTAAATTAGATTTCTCAGAATAAAGGCTCAGGGAAGGTATTTCCCAAGATTTGGCCAAGTGATTCCGATATCAGCCAAGATTTTAGAGTCACTGTTCTTTAACAAGTACTATTAACAGTTTAAAAAGTTGCTTTCTGAAGCTTGTTTACATAGCAATAGTTGCCTAATGCTGTATTCTCCCATTTTAAAAGTAGTTATTAAACAAGTGAAAATTCCTATCTTCTACTTCATATCCCATTGTGAATCTTAAATATAAATCGCTTAGCACATACTGACCTGAGTTTTTCTCCATCAAATGACAACTGAGAAAATGTATGGTACCAAGTAAAAACGCACGGGGACAAGTTCAAATCTCTTTGTTTATGAGCCATGTATTAAACATCCGGTAGGAGATTTCAATTAAAAACATCCCTCTATGGCACTGAAAAGGCTTTGGTTATTGGTAACAAAATTAAACTCACTAATCTCTTCACACTGAACAAGGGGGAAAAGCCCGCTAGGGTATGAGAAGGGGAAGCGAAAACTGTAAAAACTGGCAGGTTTTCTATTTGAAGATTTTCGGTAAGCGCCTTCTACTTCTCCAAAAGTAGAACCGGCTTCTAACACAGGAAAACCATTCCCAGGAATGGGCTAAGGAACACGCCCGGTAGGGAGTGGACAGCTACGGGGAAGGGCGGAGAGGACTGCCAAGAGCCAAATCTGCCCGGCGAGAAGCCGCGCACCGGAAACTCCCAACTCGAGTTCCCTTCCTTTTCCCCTCCCCGCAAGCGGGCGTCTCTGAAAGCCCAGAGAGGAGGAAGCGCCCCACTGGCGCACGCGGCCCGACGTCACTGCGTTCTCTCCCCTTCTGCGGCGGGCCACCTGACGTCACGAGGCGGGGCCTACCCAAAGAAGCCGCCGTTGACCCTGCTGTTACCAGGCGCGCGCACAGCCAATCAGCACCCGCGCCGGCGCCGGCCGGCCTTTGAACTCGGCACGGCAACTTCCTGCTGTTTAGCGAGTACACAGTGCAATGCAGTATGTCTGTCAACGCTGCGGCACAAAGGAACAGCCATTTTGTGACTGAGCTGGACCTGCACCAAAATGCCAGGGCCTCACAGAGCTGGTGCCTGCGCTATCGAGCTGCCCTTTATTTCCAGTACCAGAGTACCAAAGAGGGGGAAGAAAGGGGAGGGGAAAAAGGCTTTGGTATTGCAGGTTTCAATTAGCTTATTTTCCGTCTTCTTAAAAATCCCGATTTTTAAAGTATTATCAGCGTCATAAAATGGCTGCCACTTAAACTGCCTGTTCCAGCCCACAAGCAACTGCATTATGCCATTTCTAATCATCCCAAGCCTTACAGAGTAACTGCTAAAATGCTGATGAAAAGCTAAGATTTACCCGCATCTCAGGTTATCAGAATAAATCTGGCTCAAATGCAGACGATTTGGAGATAAATTTAATAAACTGTTTTCAGTTCTAAAGATAAGCTGCAAACGTAGTGTCCTAGAACACACAGAACTCTTTGTGTGCACACAGTTCCATCCTTCTCGCCCGTTTCCATTTTCTGATATTAGGAAACTTATCCTCAGCTCCAAATGATTTAGATAAAAAGTGTGGTATACTTTTTGTATGTCCACCACTAAACCTTTGTTTTAGCAGAAATTTTAGAAATATCACGCTTTTAAAAATCACGTTTTTGAAAGTAAATTGCTAATCTTCAAAAATCGTGATAAATTAGAACATATTAGACTTTGAGCATTAACTTCAAAGGAATACAGGAACAGGCAAACTTATATAATCACTATTAAGTACTACACTATTTCCAAAAACAGGAAAATACCAGGTCTTCCTAAACTTGCACTCATTCCTTCCAGATCCTAAATTAATTCTCAGACCAAAAGTTTATTTGACTACAAACTCCTCCTTTCCGCTCCTGTGGCTCAGGCTACAAAGGTGATTTTTGCAGTATTACCTAAACACTATACTTTGTGCCACAAAAACTCTTGATGGCAATAGGAACTAAGTAGTAGTCACACGGACAGTCTCTATTCAGCTCACTAGAAGTAACACTTATCTAGTAAATTAAAACACCACGAACATCCTTTAGCTTTACAATTTTAAAAGGAAGTGATGTCATAATTATGTACATGCATTAAGATGTGCGATTTAGGGTAACAGTAACTTAAAAGTAACTATCTTCTCTTCAAGCTCTCAAATATTTTTGGACATTCATCAGGTATATGATTCAAAGTTCACCTGACAAAACATTTAAAAGTAAAGTACATGCTTCTTGTTCAGCTGTAACCCTGCTACCAATAAGCAAACGTATGACAACTTCCAAGTAGTTTTCCAGGTGAGAGTAAAAGTATCAAAAGAAAGAATAAAAACACTGCTCGATTTTTAAATTAGAAAGCATAGTCTGATCAATGATGTTAACCACAAACCTTGCATAAGAAAACCAAAACCCAAGTGAGACTATGCAAATGATACACTCAAGGGAGTAACAATTTTAGTATTGAATCTTTAATACTTTGTCAATATACCTGGGGTTTCCCATTCCTTCTAACTGTCATTACTTTCTAGAAAAATCAGTTTAGGATTGGTAGTGAAGTTTTCTGTCCTTAATGTAATAATTTAGTAATTACATGGGCAATTCAAATTAATAAGACAGCAGTCCAAACTGTGTGACAACTCAATTTGCAAAAAATTTGGGAACATAGTTTTCAAAGCAAGGTTCAACATATTTTTAGTCTAATAAAATAGAATTCAACATTTGTAATAACCATGCACAGCACTTTCAATTCACTAGTCTAATAAATATATTTATAGAAAATTATAAAACTAAAAACAAAATTGGGAAGAAAAATTATATAAACAATCACATCCTTTTTAATTTCATGATTTAAAATTTATGACATGACAATCGATAGGAACACACCAAGAAATGCATTCATTTATACCTTTAAAAATTAATATACAGAGAACATACAACAAAAACATCTTAAAGGCTTTATTACTTAATCACTAATAAGGTACTCCAAGGAATGTGGAACAAATCATGGTTTGAACAAACATTACATTTGTAAGCTTCAGAAGATAAAGCATTCCAGACAACTCCTGTCGAAATACATCAATAAATTTAAAGCAGCTACAACTAAAACATGAAGATAAAATACATCTACCAACCAGAAAGCCCTGTCTTAAGCATACAAGTGCAAACCTTAAAATATTTAAAATATAAATATACAATTATAAATATAATCACAGTAACAAACACAAAACAGAAGTACAACAGTATTCCAGGATTTCCGTAATTACAGGTTTGATTTCATAAATTCAGAAACTCTAACCATCAAGTATAGGTTTTGACAAATCATACCAAAATTTCCTAAAATGTCAAGGGTATCAAAAGAAATACAGAGTCAAATAAAAATATAAACTGAAAGGCATCAGTCAAAGAGTCCTTTCTGTGATTTCATTTTTAAATGTACATTTTTTCATTCATATAACTTTCTCAAATGTCTATTTACTATAATTTACTACTACAAGGCTCCTCTATGGCCCTCAGTTACAAGTTTGGATATCCTAGATTCTTCAAAGAAAAAATTTGCCTTGTATGTAAAATGGTGCAATGCAGCAATGGCTAAACCGACAAGGTCATTTTTCTGCAGTACAAAAACCTAAAAACTGAAATTTACTGACAGAAAAACTGTAGTTTACAGGAAAGGCCCCTTTGAATAAAGGTACCTTACCTTTTGACTGCTGTAAGAGGCCTTAAGTCACAACTCAACTTTCATAAATTGCTACCAAAAAATTAGGGTGTGGCATATTAGCAATCTCAAGGTCATGCTTTAAAAAACGAATTCAAATTAGAAAAATAGTTATAATAAAACAGACAGTAATCCATGTCTGTCAGGTAAACAACTGTAAGCTGAGGTTTCCCCCAAAAAAAAAGACAAAAAGGAAGAAAGTTGATAGCTCATACCTCGATGCATTGCTGTGTAGCGAACTGTCCTCCTCTTGGCTTTTGTCCTTATTTCTCATCATCTTTTAATTCTTAAATATTAAGGGGGAGGGGGAATCTGTGTTTGCTTTGAAGTCCTGTGCCCAGGTATTTACTGTCAAAAGTTGAAAGAAAGGTAAGGTCCCGGCTTCTATCGATGGTTTTTATTAACAGGAACAAAGTCCTGACGATGTTAACGATATTGTTACAATACAACAACAGAAAGCACTGAAAAACAAAATATTTCTATTTTTTCCTTAAAAAAAGAAACACAACAGGATAAACCGAACAGTGGAAGCATCACTATCAATAAGGAAAGTTTCTCAAAGTAACACACTGGATACAAATAACAATCTCTGTATCGTATTGCGTCATCCAAGAATTCCTCGTATTTACAGAAAATAAAGCAAACTTTAACATAAAAATCTTTAAAATTCTCACTAATGATTGTGAACTTACCTGATCCATGTAGTATGTCCAAAGCAAGAGTCCTATCTAGTAGTAGAAAAATATCAGATCCCAAATAATTAAAAATAAAGGCAAAATCCTCCGTTAAAAAATGAAAAATAAATAAAATAATCCTCAAATATGTTAACTGGTCAAAAAATAAAGCAATAATTAATACCAAAACGGGTCCGAAAGAAAAAAAAACCTCATTAGGAGAGCGCACAAAAATGGAGGTGCGCCATGGCTTCTAAGCTGGAAAAAACAACGACCTGGGCTCTCAGTACGGCTGCTTCTTTCCAACAAGGCACGAAAAGAAAGCTCCTAAAAGCTGTTTTTCTCCCTAAAAAGGGTTCGAATCGACCCCAGTAAGTCACTAGGAGAGGCAGGGGGCTGCGGGGGCCCCCTGAGGCTACCCAAAAGTTAGGGAAAGTTGCGTAAAGTGAGGCAAAGGCAGGGAGCAGAGCGCGCTCTAAGGCACAGCCGCCATCTAGAGCCTCCTTCCCAGCTCTGAGAGCTCTGCCTTTGATTGACACTCTCTACATTTACCCCACAACTCAGGTGATGTACCATAGACCCACCCCTTCATCTCCACCAAAAAAAAAAAAAAAAAAAAAAAATCCTCCATCCCAGGGAGCCTTAGGACCCCCACCCCCACACCTCCCTGCCCCTCCAGACCACCCCAACAGGGGGAGGGGGAGGGCTTCTTTAACCCCCTCTGGCTCAAACACCCTTTTTAAGCCAGAGAGAAATGTAATTTGTTCCTTTTGTCTAAAGATCTGCTAAATATTTCAGTCCTTGAGCTAAAATAACTTCCTCCCTGGACAGGAAGTGGTGTTTTATCAAGCCATTTTGAAAAAGGGATAATTCTTAGAGAATCTAAAGCTCAGCTTAAGTACTAATCTTTTTAAAAATTAACCCCCTCATGGGTAAAATGATTTCTAAATAAAAGCAAAACCTCAATTTCATAAATTAAATCCAAGTTTTGCCTTCTGTATGATGCCTAAAAATCACCTAAATATAAAATTTAAGGGGGAATCTACCATCCCAACTAGAAGAAGGGGGTAAGTTTTACAACTCAAGAGCGCCTCCCTAGTGTTCAGTTGCATTAGAGCAAAAGTTAATGCAGCCAATTTTTATTCAAGAATTTCAAATTTTCTTTGTACTTCCACAAAATTCTTTAACCCATTATACAACCTTGAACATTTTACCCTCAAAAAACTTTTCACAGCCACAATATGTTTACTTCCCACAATGATTCAGGCAAACAAAGTTCTTCAAATTCAAGAATATGGACCAACCAGTCACCTTTAAATCAAAAACCCAAGAAACTCCACCTCCAAAACCAACAGTAAACACCCATATATCCCAACACTTCCCTTATATTTCAAATCAAATTCTAAGTATACACCCATTCCAACAATAACAACAGGTCATCTGATGCAAATTATCAAAGTAATGTCACAGGGCAAATTATCCTAAATATCAAAGCAATGAGACCTATAGAAACAAAATTATCACTAACTCCAAAAACAATTATTCAATAGTCTCACCAAGCACCCCATGCAAACAAGTAAACACATTCACATACCCCCAAAAATCCAATCAACTTTCCTTACTCAACATAATCTGCCAGAACCATATCCTTCCCTCATTGAGGAAATCCATTTTAGACTCACACCCAACAAAGCAACAAGGTCCAATACAGGTAAATATATAATCCATAATCAAAACTTTCAATTCCATACTTTCTACATAAAGATAACTTTTGTACCAAAATCCAAAATTCCACTTATCAGTTTATACAAAGACCAACCACCTCAAATCAATGAGAATATTGTGCATGTATTGTTCATGGATGCCTATGCTATAGTATTTGACATTAATCACAGACACAGTACGAGTAACTATTTGTAACAAAAAAATTTAACCTAAACTAGTCCTAGTTCTCTGTATAATGGGAACATATAATCAACAATTCATTTGGTCTATAAAAATAAAGCCTACCACCCTTTGTAATAGTGGCTGAGACTGGTATTAGTTGATCACAAATAAAAACCTGTAAACATAACAATCTATGGCATGGAACAATTCATTTATTCTAAATTCCCAATTGTATAGAATAATGAAAATACAAGATATTAATTCTATTTCAAACATACATAAAATGTATTATACACATTATTGCCAACAAAATTTTAAGTCCTTTTGTGAATACCCCAAGGACATTTCCCTATAAATCCAATACTTCCGATAATATTAAGACAATGGGAGACATCAATTTATTTACATATTGAGATAAAAGGCCTACTGCAAGATGTTTTATTTATAATATTAAAAAGCTTAAGTAAAAGGGACCATTTCCATCAACACAAAATGATTCAGAGAAAAATACTGTATCATTCATCCTGAATTTTGGGGCAACAAGCATTTTGTTCTAAAAGTTCTTTAAAATCTCATCACAGATTAAAGATTCTATTATTATGTTACCTGTTGATTAAGGTGTTTTGCAAGGTGTTTCAAGAAAGCACAAACAAAATAACATTTCGACCAAATGACCATCTCAAAGCACAAAAAATTTCCACAACTTTGTGGGAAAAAAGATAAATCTTAATCAACCAAGAAAAACATCTTTCAGCACACCATTTCCATTTTACCAGCTTTATTCAATACACTTTACCGCTGGGCAACTGTAAAGGTCATAGTGTTATTAAAGCAATAACTGAACATTTAATGAAACTTCTGCTTAAAAAAAAAAAAAGCCCAAACTGAGAAATTTTAAAGTGTTATAAATTTTATTAAAGTTAACATTCCACGAGGTCATACTCATACAAATCAAACTTGCAAAAAATTCCAGGCATACAAACTATTATCTGTGTTAATGTGCCATCTTTCTTCTCCAAATGTCAAAAATGTACTTGTTTTAATGATACAAAAAAGTCTTTAGAAAGTCAGGTCCACTGTCCATTTGTGTTGGGTAAGAGACCTATGTCTTCATTCATTTCATGGAATCCATGTTAAAAGAACCCTGTCTTGGGTTGTATATTATCACAGGACTCTTGTATTAATCCATTTTCCTCAATTCCCCATAGTGGACTGCCATCTTGATTTTCAGTGGTAGGGTCCATTTGAGACTCTTCAAGCTGACTGGGTACTTGATGAAAAAATTAAAAGAAAAAAAATGCTGTTGGAATCTTAAATCTTTCAAATAGAAAACATCCACCCACCTTTAAGATAGCCTACCATACACAAAGCTTTAATTTTGTAACAGCTTTCAACTATGAAATTGTATATTAAAGTTGTATGTAAGGCACACACACAACTTCTCACTGATAATCAATGAAAGACTGCACACAAAAGTAACAAAGGTCTTCTACTGTAACAGATACATTTGTATCCATAAAAGACTCAGTGAAGAGTCAAATTTTTAATATTTAACATTAACACCATTATACTATGTACATGAAAAGTAAAAACATAAGTTAAAATTCAAAATTCCTGGAAAGCTAAATTACAGAAACACTGTGGATTCTAAATCTCAATGCAGAAAACTTTCCAAGCTTCTTCAAAGAAAACTAATTATAGAAAAGAATCTTAAGGGATTAAAAAAACAAAGCAGTGGATCATAGCAGTTTTCCATTCCAACAGATGTTAATTAATTTTGTTTAGATAACACAAATGGCCAATATAGATGGCACCATCTTTAGTTACATATCTGGGAAGACAGAAAATACATAGCTACCAGGAAAAAAAAAAAAGATCAAAAATGCAAAATATGTGCCTGGCTTCTTTGATATTTGCCATAAAATACTATCAGTTTTCAAATTATATATAACTAAGATATTCTCATTGCCAAAGTATCAAATGTTCCTCCACAGAAAAACAAATCTATTACTTAAATAATCTGAACTGGAGAAGTGGGAGGCCAGGTGACTTTATCAATAAATAAATGATCCAAATTCATCAAAATCAAACATAATTTAAGAAAACAAGTTTTAATCCCATGCCGTCTCTACAAATTTTCTAACTCACTAAGTGAATTTGTGGAGATACATTCAAAGGTGACTGAATTGAAGGCAAATAAATAAAAGACCATCTCTATTCATTAGGTAATTTCCTTGTAACTAACATACAATACAAAAATCTACTTAATAAAGTATTTGCTTAACCAAGAGATACTGCCGCCCATATTTAAAAACATTGATGGAAAGGAGTGTCCCAGCATCAGTAAGAAACATCAAAAGCAAGATATTTCTCCATAACTGATTTTGCAGATTCCTCCCCAGACTTAAAAGGGAAACTAAATAACTCAATTCATTCCCCACATCAGTAAAGTATCTTCCATTTGACTTGTTCATTCCTTAAAATTAAGAAACCTATACTTCTGTATAGAAGTATAAAAATATCATCATTCTTCTCTCAGAGTTAATTATAAACCAGTTTCTCCTCAATCTCTATTGTTCCAATTCAAAGTCAAGCTCTAAATGAAACTGATGATGTAAATACTATTATGGTGAACAACACTACTAAGAAAAAAATGCATTAATACCAAATTATAGTTATTTCAATAGCTATAGGTGTGACTTATTCAATTTGGTACCTTTAAACTCAATGCTTTATATTCTGCCACAAGACAGGAAATAAAACTTATCCATATTTCCTTCTAAAATCATTATTTAAACTGTATCTCAAAAGAAAATCTAATGACATTAATAACTCTAAAATTACTCACTAAAATTCTCTGTAATAATTAGAAAATAGTAGGACACTTATCATGACATCACAGTCATATATTTAAGATAGGTTAAAAAAAAAAGAAGTAATGACATTAATAACTCTAAAATTACTCACTAAAATGTAATGGTCTCTGTAATAATTAGAAAATAGTAGGACACTTATCATGACATCACAGTCATATATTTAAGATAGGTTAAAAAAAAAAGAAGAAAAGAAAGAAAGAAAAAGAATGCTACAAGAGAAAGCAGACAACTCTTATGACATTAAAAAGCCATGGTCAATCTACACTCCTGCAAAGCCAATCCATAGCCAAAAGTGAGATGGTTGTTAATAAGCAAAAGTGCTCAGACAAGCATCAAAGCTGGTAAAAGATCTGTGAGGGATTTAGCAATAACCCATTTATTTTTATAGAATTCCAAGTTCTTATAAAAAACCAAGTTTGCAAATAAGCAATCTTATCTCAAAAAATAAAAAAGAAATCAGGCTGAGTTCTGTGAGCCTGAAAACTTTCTTGGGAACAAAATCCAAAATTGTTCATCTGTAAAACAGAAATAATCATAGTACCTACCTCTTGTGGCAGTACTGAGGATTAAATGAGTTAATACATTTATTGTACATTACCTGACATTCGATCTCAATAAATGTTAGCTAACATTCTGTTATGCCACAATAACCAAAGTACTTGGGACCTACAAACTAATCTTACTGAATCAAAATAATTTATATTCCAAGAGTAAGAATATCTCTGAAGAACATGTAAGGTCATGGGGTCAATTATTTAAAGAAAAAACACTTACTGATTTAAAGAGAGAAAAGTAGATTTGCATTAGAAAAAGTTAGCATCCTACAGAAAACTGGGTAGGGTTTAGATGTGGAAGCCCTACTCCACTCCCCTCTCCAGTAACTTGTGAATTACTGCAGACTTACTGAAGAGATGTTTTGATGTAGAATTCCATAATCAGACAGATCTTTTATCTATTTCACATAAAAGGTTCAAGCAAATAATATAAATGGTTAGGAGAATTTTTCCACTTTGATATTCATTAATTCCCACAACAACTTCAATGGTAACAAAGTTTCAGTGAGTAACTGCTACCTCCTAAAATCCCCAAAAATCATATATTTAGACGTTAAGAACATAAAACTGAGCATACGTCTTCTCTTTAAATTCTACTTCAGTAAATTTGTTGCCAAAACACTAGGACATCATAAAATACATTGTTAGTTGAAATACAAGTGATTCATCATCTAGATTCGGTTTAAATGCTCTCCTAAAATAAATAATCTCCTTACCTCTATTTCTCAGCAAAGTTTTCCATTTTTAATAGCAAAGAAAAATGTGAGGGGCAGAGAGCAGTATAAGGAAAATGAAATGATTAATGATTCTTAATTTTTTTTAAATGGATGGCTCTAATAAATCTAATTTAATTTATATTTTTAAACTTAAACACTTATTTCAAAACCAAAGGGACAAACAGGCACAAAATTACAATCTAGAGCAAAAATTCATCCTTCTCATCATGTAACTAAGATTCTTGGTACTTTATGACTCCATTTCAATCATCTTTGTCTGTTGTCTTTAAATTTGAAACCATTTATGTAAGAAAGTCCTGAGAATTAAACTGCCTTGTTATAAAAATAGCCTTGAATCTTCAAAAGAATATATATTAACAAGTTTGGATCTTAAATAAGATGGGCATGAAAACTAAATCTAAAACGAACAAGGTCAATTATGACAACTGAAAAAACCAGTCATCTTATTTAAAGTTTTACAATCCAGTCTTCCCAATTGTCCCTATTGGATTAAAACTTGACTATGTATGCATGTTAAAAGACTGTGAATTGCAGAGAAAAAGAGTTCTTATCACTTTTAATTTTTATTGAATCAAAATTTTGGCTTTCAGGCATATCTAAAAATTAATATTTAACACATTAAAAATTTATGTTTTAATAATGAATTTCACTTTGTTTTTTATTAGACCCAACGCTAATGATAAACAATGTTTAATAAAAGCCATATTTATAAAATAAATCAAGTATTTATTGAGTATCTACTATGTGCCAAGCAACTAATCTCTTCAAAATATGATCACCGCTGAAAATTGTACTACATTAGGAAGGTTTCCATCTCTACCCTCACCAACCCCCTATCAAAAAACAAAACAAAGAAAAAAAACCTTCTATTTTGCAGACTCCAGTAGCCATCTGTACAATGCAAGCAGAAGAACAGGCAAAAATTATGATCTAGATTCCCAAATGTGATTCAAAAAGAATTATTTTTATAAAATAGCTAGTATTTAACTACTGAAAAAAGTTTGATAATAATATATAAATCCTTTTTGTGAATTCACCCAATTCATTTCTACAACCTTCCCCACCAACTCTTTCCCATTATTTCTCAAGCTGGGAGTTAGAAAAACTATTCCACAGAGGTGATAACCATATCTTCTAACATCAAAGCATAACCTCATTGTCAAACAAGCTAAAGAACTTTTTGTTTAGCTTTTCAAATTTAAGTTCAAAATTACTTCATTTATTTTAGGTAATTACAACACTGGAAATCATTAAAAAGTATGTTCTGTAACCAAAAGAGAACTCAAGGGCTTCCGAGTTCTACACAGGGAAGGTAAAGTTGACAAGAGATAGATGGTAAGATCTAGGGCAAGCTATTCTTAGAACAGATAATAAATATTTTAGGCTTTGTGGCCATTTGGTACACAATTCTGCTGCTGTGGTAGGAAAGCAGTCACAAACAACATCTAAATGAAAGAACATAGATGTGTTGCAATAAAACTTTATTTATAAAAACAAGCAGGAGTTTACCAATACCCAGATCTAAAAGTGTTAAAAACGTGTTCAAATGTATGTTTGTTTTTATTTTAACTTTGCCTGAGTTTAAATGAAGAAAGCGGAAAATAGCCTGGAGCAAATTAATAAGCAAAATTTTATTAATAAACTTCACCACACATCTAACGATGTTGATTTTCTTATACTGTGTTGAGTTTCACTAAATCCCTTTATACTTTTACAATTCTGACTCAATTACTCAAAATTTTTGAGTCATTAAAAATTTAAAAACAGATTAAGCATGTAAACTGAACAATACTTACTAAATCCCTCCACCAGTGTCTACTACGTTGTACAGGTCCTTTAAAGGATTCAGTTTGGGGAGTCACCATTTCTGTAGAGGACAAAAAGAATATAATTTTATACATAGAAAACAAAAATAGATTACTAAACACCATGATTTATACCAAAAACTTCAACATCTTGCAAAGATCACTCACCATCAGACCAAGAGGTACATGTATTTATGAATAATACAGTCCAAGCAGAAGACATAAAAGCTCTAAGAGTGCCTTAAATTTGTTAGAGGAGACTCACCTGCAGAATGTTACTATAAAATCACAAGCATAAGTCTCAGCCCCTAAGAACTCCAAAATAATAGGTAAATATTTGTGGCTCCCTATGTGGATGTGATGGGCAGCCATGGTTAAAACTAGCTATTTAACAGAGCCAACATCATTCCTTAACAGTTTAGAATTGTTTCATCTTCTGGTCTTTCATCTCATCTACTTTCAAGCCTTCTAAAGAAAAGCTTCCATGACCTGAAAAATCATTTTTCTCACTCTTTAATATTACCATATTATTTTACATTACTATATACTTTGATCAACACAATTCTTAGTGTTAGAAAGAAAACATTAGGCATCATTTCATACTACTACCAACTGTATGGATCTACTGAACTAAAGCAACACTAATCCTTTCTAAAACACATACTTGATAAAAAATATTGTATCCATTTCACTAGACTTAAATACCTCATAACTAAACATGGAAAATGGTGTTTCCCATATCTCAAATACCTTCTGAATACAGGTATACACTTTTTTCAGTCACCTGTGTTCCCAAATATGATTATAATAATCAATAAAAAAAGCTGTTTAAATGTTCAATATGAAAATGTAACAATTTAAGGTTTTTATAAGGCAAAGGACAAAATTAAAGTTTAGGATTTAAGTTAAAACTAAGTTACCCAAATGCTTTTCTACAACTAGTTTTCAGCAAGTCATTGTTTATCTTATTAAATCTAAATTCCTTTAGTCATTTTGAGAAAGCATAATCAAGAAATATAGCAAAGATCTGCTTCAAAATTACCCTTAAAGTGCTAAAGTATCATCCCAAAAAATTAACAAATAAAGCAGTTTAAAAAGAACACAATGTTATTTTTAAGCTTCCCAATTTAATTTGACTTTAGAGGATTTTGTGAATAAAGACAAATTTTAAATCAATCAAGTAACCCACGCGAGAAGGGTAGAATTGACTTATGCAAAGTCGGTAAAACAAACATCTAAGAGAAATTCCTCACACTGGTCTAATAATGTGCTTATAAATAAGTTACCTACCCATACAAGAAGTATGTATCTCTGGGTTTTCACACCACCAAAAACAGAAAATAGATCTCACTTTGCAACACCATGAAAATTACTAATACCAACGTAACCTAGCATAACATATCTTTCCCCAAAATCGACAAAATCTGAAATACTATTCTGGCATCCTTTCAAAGAGAGAAGCCAGTAGAGCTCAGCATAAGGAGACTTACGAAAGATGATGATTTTGCTCCTATTTTTACCTATCCTTATCCTTAATATTTTGCAACATTATGGTTTCTGACTTACTAATAAGTTATAGGTATATATATGTCTTATAAATGTATTATATATATATAATTATATATATAAACAACCATTACGGATGCTGGTCCTTTTACAATAAAAGGCAAGGACAGCTTTAGTCAATTCTCCCATTATTATAAGCCTATTTGCACTATTCTTAGAATATCTGATTTTGTCATCGTCTAAATTCCTTAAAATAATTTTGAAATTTAAGAATAAAATCTGACAGCAGTACAAAATTTAAGAATGCTTATGCAAAAAGAGGGTAATTATAAAGTCATTAACATTTCTAAGAAAATTCACAACCCTTAAAGTTAAAAAATACATAGCTTGATAGTCTAAATTAAAATGATTATGATTACTATATAGTAATGATATAATTGCTTATTTTCGAAATATTCAATTTCAAATAAATGGTTTAGTTTCAAAAGGCAAAGGAATGTTTTCCAGCCCTATCAGGCATTATATGATGTATAAATCAAAATTTTTATCATATTATAGAAAATATGCTACTTGAATGTTACATAATCAAGTCAAATATATTTATAAGGATCAGAATATCCTTCAATTTAAATTGTAAAGGTTAATCATATTCAGAAATAGCCAACTTGAAAATAAAAGTTTACACTGAACCATTCGATCTGTAAGGGGAAGGTAGTTGGTAAAATGAGGATATGTATCTTTGAAGTATAGAAATTTCTTAAAGGAAATTGAACAGATGACACCAGGCATGCAAATTATAAATCTTGTTTATAACTGTAGTCAGCTGAAAACATTACATAGAAATACACTCAATTTAGTATTACATTTAATAATTACTAGAAAAATCCAAAAATTGCTTTTATTACAACATTCTAAATCTTTATTCTTTGGAAACAATATCACTCTCTAATTGTTTTGCTAAGATCAATTTTCCAATGTCTGTATACTATCTATCAATACTTCGAAATGCCAAAAAATCAATTAAGTTAAGTACATTGCAGGTCTTATGTTATTCCAATAGTTCAACCACAGAAATAAACCATGTGATTTGCCATGCAAAAATTACAAAGTTTGTGTAAGAGAATTAGACACTCAATTATTTTTATCACCCAATTTTAGAGCTAAGAAGGATCTTAAGAATCTGGAAACTCTTAAAGCCTTCATACAAATTAAGAGATTCCACAGAGAATAAAATGTCAAGATTGCAGGGCTTATTTATATGAGAAGCTGGGTCTCCTGATTGCTGAATCATAGTTATATTTTCTACTCTATCACACATCTCTGATTAAAGCAGAAGATAGAGATGTCCTCAAATTATGTTTTTCTCCCTTCTGCCTTTTCATAAAGGATAAAAGAGGAGAAAAAGTAAATAAATTGGTTGTCCACAGCCTGAATTTTTAAATAATCAAGAAACAACTGTGAACAATAGGTAAACTAAACTTGAAAGAAAATTTACATTTGAAATTGCCTATTTCGTATAATCTATACTCTAAACGTCATGTAATGGTTCACAGGAGCCTTTTGGTTCTCTCATAGCTTCTTTCATTTCTATTGAATGTTGTAATTTTTTAAACAGTTTTTATCAGAACAAATGCAATCCAACCCAATCACCAGGTTGATCAGACTTTTATGATTCAAGAATTAGTCCAAAATGCTAAGATAAATACAACTATTTAAGTATTTATCACTTTGGTTCTTAAGCAGGAAACGATGATAAATAATAATTTACTTTTCTTATGAAATATATTACTTTAAAAGAATATAGTATCTACCTTACCTACTATATTTATCTTCCACAATATTATCTACCTATAATAGTATCTACATTTACATTTGCCCTCATGTACCAGTGGCTATTCAATCAATTTTGTCCATTATACGAGACTGGCTCAAGCAAATATCAAAACAATGAATATAAACAGTCATAAAGACCTAAGTACATGTAGATATTTATAAAATATGACTTATTCTAATCCTGTATCTTGTTGGTGATAAAAGGAAAGCTGTATTCCACTAGACTGGGGATTAACTGGGAGGTTACTGTATCATTTAGATTTATTTTAAATTATTGATACTCGGGGGAAAAAGATACAAATCTTAGTTTAACATTTCTAACCTTCTCCAGCTGTTTATTTTTTTTATTGAACAAATTATATCTTTGGTATACCATTATAAATTTATTGCATATTTGTACTTAAACTTACGTTATGCTTCACAAAAGAAACCCAATTCTCATTTTCTGTAACAGTGCCGAACCAGATGAATGCCAATTTAATGTCATATCAACTGCACAGAGAAAAGCCTAATCTTGGCATTTATGTTAAAGAAGTTTAGGGTGAAGGATGTTTAGACTTCTTTTGAAAATGTCGTATCTTTAAAACACTACAGTTAATTAACATTTCTTTTCACACTGTAATAAACACAAATTTGATGAAACCACAAAAAGGATTAAAAAGGAAAAGTTAAGCTGAAGAAAAGGCATTAAAAATATTATTCCTCTTACCACCTATTTTAGTCAATGGAATAAGCCAACACCAAACAACAGATTATATTTTATTTGCCATATAAATTTCAGAGACAATGGCAAACTTGCCCTTATTTAGCTAACTGGTCACTTGGCAATTGTTAAAATTTCCCAAAACATTCCTTATTATATTTCATATTTCCTCTGGTCAATCACTTACTCGTAACAGCTTGACATTAATTTCCAGATTCAATGTTAACTTATGAATATTTTTTTCTTCGGTGGACATATGTATTTTTTTCATTCATGTATCCAGTTTTAAGATGTGAAGTATTATACACATGGTATACGAAGCCCAATACCTAATGTGCTTAAAAATTATTTTTACCTTTTATGCTTTGAAAACAGTTGCTTAGCTATAAATTAGAAGACTCTTTAGATGCATTACTCTAATTTCCTAGAAAACAACTTATTTTTATACCTGTTTGAAAATAACTCATGAAAGCAAGTAAAATGAGTTATTTTTAATCTATTTAAGTAATAACTAAGATATGGAATTGTCTATTTAGTTTTTGAAATGTAGTTTTTTTAAGAATCCTATGATCAACAAATGCAAAATTCCAGGCCATTCGTAAAATGTGCTCTGTATCAACAGAAAAATGGCTAAAAAATGTGTATAGTAGATTGTAAAGACATGATTTTGATGACTGTGCTGCAGATCTAACTGCAATCCTAAAGCATCATTTTATTGGAAGTACTAAATGTCTTCCTGCCTTGATATAAATTACATGCATCGACTGTTTTAAAAGTAATATAAGTATTTTGATGTAAGGCAAAGGAATGTGATAGGTTTTTTTCTCACCTTTTTTTAGAGACATAAAGAAACAGTCTACGGTTTGCTTCACTGACAAACTTTACCGATGTTTTCCTACTTAAATGTTGGTAACTATTCAATTTCAGATGCTGGGTAAAAACATTTACTTACTTGCCATACACAATACAGACTTTCCTAAAGCTTTCCATTATCCTCAAGGACAAAACTCCAATGTCTCAGTCTTCAAAATGGCATACCTTTTGGTGAAAACAAACAAACAAGATTCAAAACAACTCAGTGATAATCAATAGCAAGTAGAAGAAGTATTTTTAAACTTTTTAATTATAGAAAAGAAACGAAAACTAAAATCCATGCTTAAAACCTAATTTTTAAAATATTCTTCCCTAAAACCTATTAATATGAATAGTAAACTAGTTCAACTTTTCCAATAAATTTCTTTAAATATTTTTTTGCATGGCATATTACAGAATTAAAGAGAAAAAAATCTATCTTTGGTTCATGGTTTTCCTCAAAATATAATCAATCTTTTCTTGCTCCCCAAATTAAACAAAGGCTTAATGGACCTTCAGTATTTTAAACTATTCAAAGGGTACATTAAATTACAATGGTTATGCATATAGATATTTAATCTTTAATTCAGTGAAAGAGTTTAAAGGCTTGTAAAATTTCAGGTATTTAGTTTATTCATATTCATAATCATTTTTTAAAAACCATAGATAAGGATTCATTGGTTATTTGAAATATAAATTATTAAAGAGCAAAACAAAACCTAATAAGCTAATTTTTATGTCAAAGTAATAAAAATTTACCCAATCTTACCTCAAATAAAAGAATTGTATTTGTTCAGAACCATCAGCAACCAAATAATTTTAATCTTGTAAGTCACCTTTAAAAAAAAAAAAGGATGATATTAATGTTTTAATTTTTAAACATGTCTTGGCCAATGATTCACTGAGACGAAACGAGAAAATATTCCAAAAACAAAAATCTATGGGCAAATTTAGGAGATGGCTCATCAACATACAACCTGTACATTTTTTTTATGGTTGTAGTTATTTCTTATCTTAATATCAGTCTTTGTTTTCCTCATCTTTTGGCTGTGTTGACAAATACTAAACATTAAGGCACTGAAATTAAAAGCAAATACAGAAAATTTTAATCTTCAGACAGATTTAAGATTATGGCCTTGTTTTTAATTTTTATTTTCCCTCTTTTTACGCCAGACAACAAAAAGTTTACCATTTTTAAATACTGAAATTATCTTAACATCTCAGTTTACCATCTAGAAATACCTTTTACAATTATGACCAATTAAAAATTAACTCCTCCAGGAGAAATTAGTGAAGTTAAAATGGCCACTGGTTACTTTAAATTTTAAACCACAAGTTATTTGATCTCACTAAGTGGGATATTAGCTTTGCCTTTTAGGCAAGTCTAAAACTTGTATCTATGACCTTTACTCAATTTCAAACCAGGGTCTTGAATATTTTCAGTCTTTCTCCTCCCCCACTTATCAAGTAAAAAGATCTTTCTAGATTAAACTGCTTGCAATTATTTTGTATTTCACAATTCAAAAAGGATTCTAAAGAACTAGATTCAGAATATCCATTTAAAACCAATGTTCGAAAACTTCAAAAACATTGATTTGAAAAACCAAAATTGGTAAACAACGGATTCTGTAAAAATCAAGATATGCGCAACTGATGTAACATATACCACTACATGAAAGCTATTCAAAAAAATGAAACAATTTTACTGGGGAAATAATCCCTGAGAAATATGGTTGAATAAAACCACTATCTCTGATTTTAGATTTACTACCTAAATCTGCCCAACAATATTTTTATATAGATCTGCACCTTTACAACACAAGAGCTTCGCAGAATGAAGATAAATACATTCTAAAATACACAAAGCTTTGTGCGTTTCTGGTTTGCTCTTCAAACCATTAAACTTAAAAATTGCCCTCCAAACATTTTCTTAAAACAGACATTATACATAGAATTCTGCAAATTTTTGAAACCTATATTTTAAAAATACTGTTCTGTTTTAAGCACATGTAGATTTTTTATACATGCAACAAATGCAACAAATATGGCTCCTCTTCATCGCCCATTACCGAAAGCAGTCCTACTTTAATATTTACACTACGAGAAAGTAACTTCACGAAGAGATTTGGTGTCAGAATATTCTTTCGTAAAAGTTTTTCGATCATGACTTTCGATAACATACAATATTCTTAAAAATAATAAAATGATGAACTTAAACTTTTAAACACTAAGAACTGACCCAAGTGCGTCCTAACATTCAGATGGGAGAAGTTACAGATAACGGCTCCTTTTGACCTTTTTAAAGAGTACCAAACAGTATGTTTAATCGTATTCAAATATCAGTAGGTCAAATGATCTTGGCGTAATTACTCGGTAAAATAAACTGTATTAATCAAACGTCATCGTTTAGCACCGTAATTATCAAATCTATTTCCATTAAACAGCCTTGACGATACACTAAACTTGACTTCGTAATTTCTGAAACACCAGAATCACTCCTCCAACTTGCATTTTTGAAAGACAATCTTAACGCCATAAAGGTTTAATAAGCAGCAAGTACCTTCGCATATGTAACACTGCAGCCGTTTCAAAGTCGGCTTTGAAAGAGTTAAAAGCCAACACCCAATAGGGAGAAAAAAACAAGTTTTATTTTTGTTTAAACGTAGCTAGTGTTCCATTGTTCTTTTAAATGCGACCATGAAGATGAGTTCCCACCTCACCGGAAAGAGCTTAAAAAGCTCCTCCGTAGGAGAACCTGAAAGTGATTTTTTTTCCCTAAATTTCAAAAATAACTCACCAAGACAGAAAGGGGCTCTCCTCGTGCGGTCCCCTTCGGGCTCCCGCAGGCAGTCACCCGCCGCCGCCCCTTTCCTGGCGGGTCCCAGTGCCGGCAACAAGGCCGCCTCCCGCCCACCTGCCGGCCGCGGGGTCTACAGCGGGGCTCCGCGTGCCCCCTGCCCCTGGGCCCCGCGACCCCGGCCCATGGCGCCGAGGCGCATCCCGCCTGAGAGAGCCGGCCGCGACCACGGAGAGGCTGTGTGGGGAGAGCCGGCCAGCGAGGCCCGGCCCGCCGCCCCCTCCTGCTCGCGCGCTCAAGGACATTTTGCTTTTCCTCCCAAGGACAAAGGACAATAAAAGGAGCCGGGGAGCCACTCACCGGGTCCGAAGGCGGCCGCCGGCAGCTCCTAGTCGCCCAAACCCGGGTCTCGGGCCGGACCATCTGCCCGAGCCTCCTGCCCGCGCCAGGTCCAGGCGCCGGGGCCCCGGGGAGCCTCCGCAGCCGCTGCCGCAGCGGCGCTTTCGGCATTGTGGGCCCGGCCGCCCCGGGCGCCTCTGCCGTGGGATCTAACGCCGGCGCGCGGCCCGCCTCGCCTCAGCCGCGGCCGCCCCGCTCTCGCGGGCCTGCGGGCCGCCCGGGCGCAGCTCCCAACCGGCCGCCGGGCCCTGCGGCCGCGGCGGAACGCCTGACAGCTCGGGGTGCTGCTGCCTCTCCGGCCATCTTGTGCCGTGTGTGTGTGTGTGGTGTCTCTCTCCCGTCTCCTCTCTCGGCTTTACTCCCTCCTCCTCCTCCCCCCGCCCCACACACCACACAACATGGCCTCTTCGCTGCGGCGGCGGCGGCTGCGGCGGCGGCAGGAGCTCCGCGGCGCTCCAGCCCGCTCCCCTCCCCCACCTTCCCCGCCTCCCGCCCGCAGCCTTGGAACCCAGCGCGCACGCGCGCCGCTGCCCGCCCACCGCGGCCATTGGCTCCAAGAGCTTCCTGTCATCCCCTCCCAGGAGCCGCCTCACGCACGCTAGCGGGCGTCTTTCTCCCGCCCAACAACAACTACTATCATTCTATTGGCTAATTTTGATCCTACCCCTTGCGCCTTTGCCGCACAGATAGGCTACCGTTAGTGCCATTCACTGCCCGTAGGCGTTTCTGGCTGTCCTGAGAAGCACCGGGCCGCGATTGGCTGATGGTAGAACCTCTGGGTTTGGAGCTGAGTTGTTGCTTTTCGCCCCGCAGTGCGGACCCCTCCAGGCTAGCTGGAGGGTCCTTGTGCGGTGTAGGCCAGGCCGGAATCATTAGTACAGGGCCCTAGAGATAATACAGCGTCGCCTCTGGAAAAAGTTCTGGCTTCAGTGTTTCTGAATTCAGAATTTATTCTCTTTAAAAAAATAAAAAATGACTGACAGGATGATGAGCAAACTAGATGCAGGTCTATAGCCCTTGGGCAAGCAGCCATATCCTCAAGATATTTCTTCTAAGCATCCAGGCCTTGCCTCAGGGTCACAGAGTCAAGACCAACGGTTTTAAGACCAGCACATCCCCTAGCCCAGTATCCAAATTGAGATGCCATTCATCTGAGGGTTTGCAAGCTGCCTCTTGCCCATTTATGTGAGACAGCCTATCAGCACATACGGTGTCCTGAGGCCTTAAGGAATCAGTCTTTTATAGTACGAGTTGGCCGGATTCCACCCTCTAGGGCAGTGTTTCTTAAAGTAGTAGTTTGAACCTGAACAATCACAACCTACCTGTGCAACCTCCTTCCAAAGAATCAGGCAAACCAAGCTTCGTTTCCTTTCAGCAGATCTCACTTTTTCATTACTTCTTCCTACTTCAGTCTGAAAGCAACTCCAGGCAGGCCATGGGGGAAAAATGAAAACCTAAACTTTACTGAAGTGGATGGGAAAGGAAAAAGAAGTAGCTCTCTCCCAATACCAACATTTAGAAACCTTGCTCCTTTTGGCCAGGGAGCTGAGGAAAGTGAGAGGAACAGATGCTCTTCGTTTTAATATTTTTTTTTTTTGAGGGGAGGGGACTTAGGGGTGAGGGAAGCAACCCAAGTTCTCTTGAGACCCTGCTCCTGGGTTAAAATCAGAGAATGTTAAATACATGTGGAGCCTAGGAATAGTTTGGGCCCCTTTTAAAAATGGAACAGTATTAATTGACTTGGCTTAATATGGTATCAGCCACTCAGGACAGAGCTAGGACTTGATCCCAAGTCTCCTGACTTTTTATAGATTTTGGTTTCCTTCTTTGCAGCCGGACCACCTTCCTTGGCAATATACTTTGAGCTCTCCGTGGGCACACGCACAAAAAAAATACTTCTTCAACCAAAATTAAATTTTCTCCATTTAATTTCCACGAGACACTCCCTTACACAGTCTCACTTTGAACAACGCGGACGTGCAACAAGGCTGTTTTTTCTGAAATAGCCCCATCCTGAATGCTTTTTCCTCACTCTCCTGGTGTGTTCTTGCTATGCTGTTATTCATTACCTTTTCCTTCTTTTTTCCCCCTCCTACCACTACCTGAAATCCATCTATGATTCTGCCTTTCCATATTCATCACCAAGTACTTCTGTGCCAGCAAAACAGGCCTGAACAGGCCTTCATTAACAATAATAATGGCTTAAAAACATTGAGTTAGCTGATGAGGTGCCAGGCATTGCTCTAAACCCTCACTGTGGCTTAGCTCAATTGATCACACAACACTCCAATGAAAGTTATCATCTTTCCCCGTGCGTTATCCCTATTAGGAAACTGAGGCACAAGGAGTTTAAGTGACTTGCCCAGGTTCACACTGCTAAGAAGTATTGAAGCCAGGATTGAGCCCAGATAATCTGGCTCCAGACCCTTCTGCTTCTCCCAGTTTTCTTTCAAGATTGTCCCTTTGCTGTGTAGGTCCATTTGATCTTCTGTTTTGTTGATCTTCCTAACTTGCCTGCTCCTTCCTCCTCTGCTTCTTTGAGGTGTCAAATGTCAGAATCAAAAGTCAGATCCAGTCTAACTTAATTCCCAGACCTGGGCCCCACCGTATTGCTGTCAATCTCCTGGCACGCCATCTGGGAGCCCTCTAGCTCTCTTGTTTTGCTCCCTCTTTGATTTTGGACCCCTACGATTAAGCTGTGCAGTGACTCCCTTTGATGAAGATACACCTTGGGTGGCTAACATAAAACAGCTTTCTTCTCCCAAGTTTACATCCCACACAATGTCCCTAAGGAAGGCCCCCTATCTTCAGCACTGAAACTTCGTTTCCTGTCACAAATGACAGCTATGATTTCTCTTGCCATCTCTAGACCGTCCTTAACCATCCCTCCTTATAGCAAGAAGAGCTCTGTCCTAAATAAAAAGCACCTGACACCTGGCAGACCACATCCTACTCCCACCACAGTTCCTTTTCACTCTAGTGGTCTGCCAGAGAACCCAGAGGAGATCCCTCCCTCTCCTGAGTCACACTGACTCCTGCTACTGCTGTTTCTTTATGGAAGAAAATGAAAAGCCAAGCTCTTAGCCTTGGATCTCTAAGAATAAAGACCTGTGCATGTGCTCTGAGTAATTCTGTTACTATTTAATGGTGTCCAAAAGAAAACCTGGATGGGCAGGGAATATTTCTGGAAGGACACAAGGACCTATTTATACTGGTAGCCTCAGATGAGGAGACTGCAGAGGTTGGAAAGGGCACGTTTCCCTCTAGACTGGTTTTTGACTGTGGAATTTTGAACCATGTGAAAAAAGAAGAAAGAAAGAAAGAAACAAAGAAGGAAGGAGAAAGAAAGAAAGAGAGAGAGAGAAAGGAAGGAAGAAAGTAAAAGGAAGGAAGGAAAGAGAGAGAGCAGAGAGAAAGTGGAGAGTGAGAGAAGGAAGGAAGGAACAAACTGGACTTAACCTGCTGAGCTAAAAGCTGATAACTTTTGTTGTTGTGTTTTTTTTTTTTTTACTTTATACAAGTCTTTGTTGTCTTAATTTCTTACAATAAACACCTGTAATTTTTTTTTCTTTTTTTGATGAAAGAAAGGTCACACAAAACTCAGTACCTCCAGGGATGTGAACATCATCTGAAGTGTCCCTGGTTGATGACAAGGATTCCTGTACATAAAATGGGAGGCAGCAGCTTCCATACCAAATGTAACTTGACCTCACACAGCCCTGCTGCAGAACAGGGCTTCCCACTGTCCTCCCTGCTTCTCTGGAGCTGCACAGGTTCATTTTCCTCTTTCTGCCCTCCACTCCTCTGGTAGCAATTATAGAAGAGGCAGAGGCGCCAGCAGGGTCTGCTTTTCTCCCTGCTTCCTGTCTCCCCTGTCCCCCTTTGCTCTGGGGTGTCAGCCCCGCTCATCATGGAGGCTCAGCAGAAACCCAGGATGACCTTGACTCAAGCCAAGGGCATGGTTTTCAAGTACAGCCTTTTCCAGATTCCTGCTGTTCTGCTCCTGCTCTTTGCATTTTCTCTTGCTCCTTATACTCTGCGAGACTTGCATGCAGACTCTGTCTTATTCTTTTTATACCCCCTGCTCCCTCTTCACGCGTGGCAGTCTTTATTTCTTTTACCCAGGGTACATTGCACACAGGATTGAAACTCATTTGATACTCAAAATATTATTTCCAAACACAATTATTGAGATTCTTCCATGTGCCAGGCACTGTTTTAGGAGCTGGGGATATAGCATGGATGGGAGAGATCAGGGTACCTGTTCTTACGGAGTTTATATTTTAGAATGAGGAAAGGCCATAGATAAATAAGAATATACCAGGTAGTGGGAAATGCTATGATGATGGGGCTTAGTTTCGTTTGAGTGGTCAGAGAAAGCCAATCTGAGGAGGCAACATTTAAGTTGAAGCAGAAAAGGCACAAAAGAGGCAGCTATATGTATGTCTATGGGTGGGTTCCAGGCTAAGAGGACAGATAGTATGCATGCAACTAATTTTGCTCCATCCCCAAACTGCACTAAACAGATTTTCTTTACTTTTTCTTTAAGTCATAAAATCGTAAGGAAAAGAGGACAGGGAGAAGAAAAGAGCAACACAATTTTAGAAGCTAGAAAATAGATGGATGAGTGGTACCTGATTTAGCAAACCTGAGAAAGCTGAGATCCAACCCAACTTACACTGGAGAAAACAAAAGGCTCAGAAACTGCCAGAACCAGGGACCACTGGAACTGAAGATGGAGGAGAAGATCAACATAAGGATAACTGAGTGAAAGCAAATTGAGCAGCAGTTAGATCCCTGGATCCCCTCCCTGATTACACAGAAAACTGGAGGATTATCTTTCAGAGAGCCTCTGATATGGAGGATGTCAGAAGACATAGGTAACCACACCAGAAACAGGGGGATCCAGACGCCAGATGCAGAATGAATGCAGAGACTCCAAACATCTTGCCCCATCTGGCTCTCGGATTGCTGGCAAACAGCCTTTCAGACTAGACTTTTCATCATGAACAAACTACTAATGTCAAATATTAATAGATAAAGAAAGCTTCTCACGTATACGCATGTAACAGAACAGAGAGCCCAGAAATAAACCCATGCATATATGGTAAACAGACCTTTGATGAAGGGAACAAGAATACACGATGGAGAAAGAATAATCTTTTCAACAAATGGTGTTGGGAAAATTGGATATCCATATGCAAAAAAATTAAATTGGACCCCTACCTTATAGCATACACAAAAATCAACTCAAATTG